CAGCAGGAAGTGAAAATTTACTGGAGCAACAGTTTTATTTCCAGTGAATCGCGCCATTATGTTCAATTTCAATCTAAATGTGAAACCTGCCCTTGCTACTTGTTCTCTGCTGTGGGCTCACTGTCAAAACAAAGAACAATTACAAAATGTTCCCTCACTTCAGAGCTCCTATTTGCTAAGTGGAACTGATATGCTACAGAGACCTAAGTGTGAAATCCATAAAATGCTTTTAGGTACAGATGTGAGCAGGGCAATTTGATTTCTCCACTTTTTTGGTATCTAGGAAAGTTGGAACAGTAGTTGTTAGCAGTTTCTAATTACTGACATTTCAACTTTTATACTACCATGAGCAGGAAGACTGTGCTCACTAGGTACTTCAAGCCAAATAGGTAAATGGAAAATAATAGTCGACAATTTTCCAGAATAGTTTCTGAAATATTTGTAGCAATTTATTAATTTAGATATAGCATCGCTGGATTTGAATGATGAATTAGTCTATTAAGCAGATTGATATTTCTTTCAGTATTCGATTTTCCTGACGATTATATTTTATCTGAAATGTTGCTTTTCTGTAGTTCTTAGAAAGTATTTTTACTTCACAAACAGGTGCTGGTAACTCTATTTATATTTTTTTCCCAAAAGTAACAATGCCCATTTTCACCCAAATTTGTGATTATATAGTTCAGCAAAACGCATGCTTTCCATATTTTCCTATAAACCGTGAAGTAATGAGGAAGGCAAATATTAAATTTTTCTTTCTTTGAAGATGTATGAAGTTGCCGATTATTGGAAGTGTTGCTCTAAATGACAAATTACATGATGAGACAGAAGGAGGATGCAAATCTTAGAATTTTGAAAGCATCTAATAGCTACTCATTTTATATTCAGCTGTATTTATCTAGCATTCCAGTATGCTGCTGGAACAGTGTTATCAATAAATCTATAAATAGGATGCAAAATGCATGTGAGCTGTCTGTACATGAATATAGAGCAGCCCACCAATAAATTATAGCGTAATATATAGTTTAAAGTGCAGCAAAAGGAATGCCTTGACAAATCAGTGAAACATATTGTGTCACTGAGGGTGAAAGATTCATTATGCGTCAGCCTTGAGAAAGCCAGATTTCTGAAGCAAAGGGCATATAGGACGTATGATGTAATAGGAGTACAGAAAGATGCATAGAAAGATCAAAAACAATCTTCTGCATAATAATGCCATATTAAATTTTCAGCTAAAACAACGCCTGTGCAGTACTTCACTGTTTAAAAGGGGTCAGGAAGCCCACGACAAAGCCCGGCTTCCTTGGGATTGAGGCTCCGCAGGAGATTCAGTCCTGACCCTCTTTCTGAAACGGGGTCAGGCCCAAGGGCTCGCATGGGTGTGGATTTTCCAGCCTCTCTTACGGTCTAAGCTCACCTTGCAGCTGAGAAGTTCTCTCTTCTACCCAGCCAGATATTTTCAGGAAACTTGGGGAAATTCAGTCGCTTGGGCAACTTCCACGCATCTGGCAAACCTGACTGAAACTGGCCAGTAGAGTTCAAAGTTGGTCGGAGGAGAAGACACATAGGCAGACGGAGGCCGTGGCACACAGCCCAAGCAGGCTGCGCAAGCCTTGAGTGGGCTGGGGGAAAAGGGAGGGAAGAAAAAGGGGAGGGGGAGAAAGTAAAGGAAACTGAAGGCTGAAACTGGCCAGTAGAGTTCAAAGTTGGTCGGAGGAGAAGACACATAGGCAGACGGAGGCCGTGGCACACAGCCCAAGCAGGCTGCGCAAGCCTTGAGTGGGCTGGGGGAAAAGGGAGGGAAGAAAAAGGGGAGGGGGAGAAAGTAAAGGACACTGTAAATAAGACCAAGTTGCCAACTGGTTTTCCTGCTG